CCCCTCCCCCTCCCCCTCCTCCTCCTGGTGCCTTTTTGCTCTTCTTGATTACCTCCGGAAACAGCACTCCATCCCTCACCCCCATCTTCCCACTGGGGCTGGCTCTAGGCAGCCATTCTTGGGCATTACCAGTTTCCATTAAAATGGATCCTTACCTTGGGGAATCTTTCTTTGTATACATGATTCATCATTATTATTTCACTGTCAAAGGAAACTGGGGATCGTCCAGGACTAAATAAGAAAGAGACAATTGTGTTACTTTAGTGCAACGGAACTATCGAGGAGAAAGATGGCCATCTCCAGAGCCCCTGCCCCTGCACTGTCTGCAGTACTCACTCACTCCCACCTAAATGAGAGCTGAGTTCCGGAACCTTCCTTATTCCTGGAGCTGCCAGCACACTTTGTTCAGTTCAAAATGGTGCCATCTGGAGTTACGCTACCTTACTATAAAAAGCCTGGTTTTTACAAGACCTCTGCCAGGGCCTAAAAAGGCCTAGAATGGAGATCACTCCTGAACCCACTGGTGGCTTTCCCCAGAACCAGACTCTTTGGGTCTTCAGGGCTTTGGCCACTGGGGTCAGGTACAACCCCAGCATGTTCTGGGAATCAAATCAAATCAAACCAAACCACCACCAAAACAACCAGAGGAAGACAGTGTATACCTGTATCTTTTCCCAAACAAGATGCAACCAATGGGGCTAACCTGGGCTCTGACCTGGGGGACAAATGAGGCCGGTCCAGCCTATAATGAGTTAATAGTCCTGGGTCATCTTAATCTTCTCCTTTGGCCCATGTGTGGTTATATCCCCTTGAAGGGTTTCAAAATTTGAGCCACACAATTGAATGGATACTTGGGTCCTGCCCAGTTTGGTACCCCTGACACGCGATCCCAGCTGACAGGTTTAGAACTGCTCCTTTCTGCCTGTCCTCCCCGCAGAAGGCCATGGTCTGCCTGCTGCATCGATGTACATTGCCAAGTATTTTAAGAGTAAGGTAGCAGGGATTTCTCTGAGGTATTATAGTCCTCTCAATCTCAAATGGCCTAAAAGGTACCCTTTACTCTGTGTGGATTGTGGAAGGCACCAAGATTCAGGTGTCCCTCTGTGTGCGACAAAAAAAGGCACTGGGATGCACACTCTACATTCACTCATTTGTATTTTTGATCCTTTGCACTAGTCATCTTCGTCAGTCCCTGAACTTGAACGAATCTGGGGTCTGGCTCAGCTCAAACTTTAACACTCACAGTGTCAACATTGCCCAAGGGGATTCTTCCTGGGAGGCAGTGCTCCCCTGGGCCTCCTCTCTGAACATCTTAGCCAATTTATTACTTCCCAGGGACCTTGGAAAGCTGAGCCCAGTCATTAAAGCCATGCTATTTTAATCTACACCCTATTCCTTAACCTGGAGTTTTGGCACAGATTTACCAGCTAATACCAAAGAGAAGAGCCAATTAATCTAGGGATTTCACAGATAAATCAGCTGTTACAGTTTGTTTGGTTTGACAAACCCAAGACATTCAGGGAGACAAGATAGATTCAGATGGGCATTTATTATAATTCTGCTTCTGACATGGGCTTCTTCCCCGAGCCAGCCACAAGTGTCTTCAGCAGCAACTTTTTTAGCTGGCTTAGTTCATATACCCTAGGCCTCTGGGATCTGCATCCAGGAACCATCAGAATGGATACTACTATTATCCTTTTACTGAATGCACTCTGAAGTACATTTCCAGTGCTAACTACTTTTAAAGGGAAAAAGAGAGCGTCTACTTGACAGCATTTTCAGGTATGTCTTGGGGTGGTGAATTGAGCTGTACCCAAAGCCTAAAAGGGCTTGAGCTTCAGTGGACTTGACTCATTGGAGCTGAGCCAATGTGTTATGCCAGTGGTTGGCAAACTATGGCCCGAAGACCAAATCTGGCCCGCTGCCTACTTTTGTAAATAAAGTTTACATAATGTTTGAGGATGCTTTTGCACTGCAGCGGCAGAGGTAAGTAGTTGCCACATAGATTGTATGGCCTACAAGGCCTAAATTATTTACTGTCTTCCCCTTTATAGAATAAGCTTGCAGACTCCTATGCTGAGAGCTCCACAGGTCCTGGGGCAGTGGGCAGAGAGCACCTCTCACCTGAGGCTGCGGGAACGGGGCCGCATGGCTGGGGACTGCCGTCCCTCCTCGTCTGGGACACTCTCTGTGCTGAAATGCTTTGTCAAAAAGTGCAGCTCATCAGCTGTAGGCTGAAAGGGCAACTGGTGCAGCTTTTCCTGTGAGGAGCATGATGACTAGAGGGGAAAACATTAAAAGACAGCATTAAAGACATGCCTAAGGCCATCTAAGAACACAGGAGAACTGAGAAGGGTCAGGGACTTCCCAGTCAATGTAAACCCAGTCCACCCAAAGCAGGCATTCTTTCCATTGCTCCCTTGAGCCTCCATGTGCATGATCCTATCCAACCCTACCCTTCACAGCCCTCAGGCCTGACGGAGCCAAGACACTACAGTCCTTCACAAGTTTTGTGGAGAACCAGACTGTCATGAGATATGAGAGCTCCGTAACTACCTAGGGAGCCTCCTTAGGCGGCAAAAAGCAGGCTCCTCTGCGTGGAGCCTTTGTCCTCAGTGAAGCTTTTGGCTACTTGGAATGACAAATAACTCATAAATCATGCTTCCTGTAGGGAAAAAATTACTTTTAGATCTGGAACCCAGATTAGACTTGACCTGAAAACAACTAAGAATTCTAAACATGGCCCAGTGACTGCGATTCCAGACAAGAGTCCATTGCCAATCACAACAGACCACTTGAGAGAGTGAGCTCTGCTACTCTGGGCATCCTACAGATGCAGCTATTGTTATGGCAGCGCCAGGATCAGTGAATTCCTCCTTTACGTGACAAGCCTGGCTAAGGCGGGCAAATCTAACACCATTGGCTCAATTTCTGTTCACCAATGGAAAAAGGAACTGGAGTTTAAGTATCTAAATCCATTTAGAGTTAAAGCTGCAGCATCACACTGAGAGAACTCTGTTGCTAATGTAAGCCTCGATACCAAGTGAGAAATCAGACTGCTTTTTTTGGTCTAACAGTGCACACTTCTCTCACGGAATGCTATACTACATGAGTTATAAACAGCTAGTGGGAGGTCTCCACAGGGCTCTATCTTGGCCACATTTTTATAAATTATTTGGATAGAAATTGCAAAATGTACCCTCACCCAATTGCAGCTAACATGAAGCAAAATATGTATATTAAAGTATCTCAATAAAATAAGCTAGAGCAAAGGGTTGAATCTATTAAAATTTATTGAACAGAATATATACATATTATATATGCATGTATGTATGCATATGTATGCGTACACACCCCCCCACACCCACNCACACCCACCCCCCCACACACCCATCCTCTTGGGTCTAAAAAAAAAACCACCTGTTTGAGTAAAGGATTATGGGGAACAGGGTTTTTACTAGAAAAAGATCTGAAGCTTAACAGTTGTCAAAAAACCAATGAAATCTTTGGATTAAGAGTAATACTGAGGTCAAGGGAGGAAATGATACCCCTTTCACCTGCTTGGGGTTCATGAATATAGACAAACAGTGCTTAGAAGACCTGAACAACAGTAGAAGCCACGGGAACAGTCATCCAATCTGTGGCCTGATTATACAATACATGGCCTGCGAAGCCTAAAATACTTACTATTTGGACCTTTACAGGAAAAGTTTACCAACCCTGTCATCCTGGTTTCAATTAAAAGTTACTCAATGAGGAAGTTTCATTTTAGGGTCAATTGTGCATAGCAGTAATTAGAACATTTGCTGTGTTGTAGGCTAAAACCTTCTCTAAAAGAAGCATAGTTAGAAGTTTTACAGACAGGCCCAGCTTTTTTGCTGATACACATCAAATTTAAATATCAAATAATTATCCTTCTCTTCTTTTTTGAAAGGAAAAGGTGACAAAGAAGGAGGGTCTACCATGCCTTTAGGACATGGAAGGGGTTATCTGCTCTTGGTTGCAGTCCTAGAAATAAGGTAGGGGAGAATAGAGGAGCCATGCACAGGCACCCCCATGCACGGCTTCATTGGCAAAGCAAAACTCCACCCTCAAGCCCTTCTCTGACTCCGCTAGGAATAACTGATGCCCAGAGAGGATGCTGGCTAATTCTTTCCAAAGGTGTTTAATCGGTCTGGTTATGGCTGTTAAGGACCACTGGCCCTCTATCCTACTCAACTTCCTCCCCAAGCAACCTCTCTTGAGTTTGGCTTTAGAGGAAAAGTTGAGAAGTGCTTTGCAACACTACAGGGATAGACAGCAATAACCTGTAGGGAAGTATTTCCAAAGGATGAAGACGGTATGGCCACAGATTTGGCGACTTACTGAGACAGTAGAGCTAGGAGTGTTGGTTCCATAGCCTGAAGAAGGTAAAGAGGCCAAAGACCAGCGCCGTCCATCAGTCCTACATAAGAAAAGACGATTAGACAGTTTCTACAGAACCCCACCCTGAGCCCAGGACCTGCTTGTCTTTCCATCAGCACCATTTTGAACAGTTGGTTCACTTCCTTGTCTCAAAATAGTGTCTCTGGTCTAGTACATGCTTTCATGTCTCTCTCCTGCACAGGGCCTACTGTGTGTTTTCCATTGCAAAGATAGACATCTCTGATTATAAAAGAGTCCATGACATTGAGTATGAACATCTGTTATGCAATACTGTCATTTTGGAATAGAAGTCTTTACACTCTCAACTTATTCACTTTTAGAAAAGCAATGACAGAGGACACCAGTCAAAGGCATCCCCACTAGGAGAACTGTCATTGAAATGCAGCTATTTCCTCTTTTGAAGGCTCCATGTAAAGGGCTCTTTGGTCTTCCCCAGGCCACTGGGTTGACAACCAGGAAGAAGCGGACCACCATCTGGGTCTGAGTATGAATCAATTGATGGCCAATACTCAAAGATTACCTAGGATCCCATAGGACCTATAAAACCAGTCTTTGAGAATGTTTGTCCAAGAGTGGTAGTACCCTCAGAAACAGGGGGGAGGTGGCACAGCCTTGGCTGCCCTTGGGGGCAGGCTTCCTGCTGCTCCTGGGAGGATGCACCCTAAAGCTCTCATCATAGAGAACCACAGTTATATACTTTGCTATGAAGGAGAAAGATCACACAGCTATCTGGTTTGAAGCGTTTATAACATGGACAAGTGATTTTTTTCTTGGACTGTGGATGTCCTGAAACACAAATGTCCTTTCGTGTGGAGCTTCGGGGGCTAGCCTGCTCTGGTTGAAGTTGAAGAAAAACTTCTTTGCTGCTACTCACAGAACCTTAGAAGGTTAGCAATGAAGGTGTTTTAGAAGTTAAGTTCAGTAACCTCAATCCAGAGAAAGCACTAAGATCCAGAGATTTGGGTGATTTGTTCCAGGCTTCATAGTAAAGGGCGGTGGAGGGGACAGGGACAGGAAGAAGGAAAAAGGGGAGTCAATCCTGCTAGAGCTTTGAAGCACTCCTCCCCACCCCGACCTAGCAGCTTTTCCTATGTTCTATAAGGGAACAGAGCCCAGGGTTCCATGCCACATGCACATGACTCAAACTTCATGCCACCCCAGCAGCTAGCTCTGCTGGAACCCAGTCTCTGAGGCAAACAAATGCCCAGGAGGCTGCTCAAACATCATGTTTTCTCTGACCTCTTTGTTGGGTCCTGGGGGCTCTATACAAGAAAGCAAGTCAATTTCAGGCAAACAGAGCTCAACAAAAACGAGACTAGTCTAACTCAGGGTGGGATTTCCCAAGCCTTTGTTTTTTTTTTTTTTTTTTTTTTTT